TCCATTGGATACTAGATCCTACAGTTACTCCTCTATGAAAAATAAATTTGACACTTTCTTTTATTTTTTAAAAAAGATCATGGAAAATCTCAATGTTGCTGATTTATCAAGCTAGTTGGCTATTCCAGACGTGTCATATCAAGTTACTTTACGAGTTTACAGACTACATCCTTAGTCAGTTAGTAGCCATGCTAGAACAGCAGACAGTACATAGTCCCTGCAACTCATTACACAGCAAATCGTAAACATTTACTGCCTTGTGATGAACAGCAAGCATATGACTACAAAGGGAACACTACAATGAATTTAATATTTAAAAAACGTGAATGTGATGAGATTGTTTACTGCCTTGTGATGAACAGCAAGCATAGCAGTACACAACAGCACTGGCAAGCATATGACTACAAATGGAACACTACAATGAATTTAATCTTTAAAAAACGTGAATGTGATGAGATTAAACATCAATGAAAGCAGCACAATAATCCAATAATCGTGGGCCTAATGAAAGAAACAAATCCAAGAACTCAGTGGAAACTAAATAAGTCGTGCAAGCATTCAACATACAGAGCTGGATCCAAGCAGCAAGGAAAAAAATACAATAATAGACTGCTAATGCTCGTCCAAGTTGAGAGATAAGAGAAAAGATTTCAGAGGGATTAGAAAACGAACCACCCCAGAGAAACTAGAAGAATAGATTGTTATCTTCTGGTCGGGGCTGTAGTCCTTGTTGAGCAAATCTGCAGAACAGTACAATATAAGAAGCTTAATTTGAAAGAGAAAGAGGGGGGGTGAGATCTACCTTTGGCTTTCTTGCCGAAGTCAGAGAAAAGTCCAGGTCCCTTGCTCATGATTGCTGAGAAGCAGACACAGAGAGAGGAGTGAATTGGGAAGGAAGAACGGAAATGAGAGGGGGTTTTGAAGGGAGAAGACAGGGGTTTATAGGAGCCTACCACGCCCACCAGACACTATTTTTTCGTTTGGATTCTGCAATCAGCCAGGAAAGGGCCGCTTCTTGCAAGCCTCCGATATTTTTGCTCTTGGGCCCCAAGAAAAGAAATAGAGAATGCAAATAAAACCTATGGGAATAGTAGGAGTAGCGGCTCGCAGAGGTGAGTACGGGTCTAAACAGATTTGTTTAAATTAAAATATTTAATTGGATCCAAATTTAAAAAAAAAATAGTTTGATTCAATTTTATATTTTTAAAAACCAAATAATTTTATTTAAATTCATGGGTTTTTTAGCTTGGCTATTTTTGATAGGTTTAAGTAAGTTTTTGAGAATGTGGTAGTTTTTTTTTTGTGTGTTTTAAATATGTGTTTTATTTGAAAAAAGTATTAAATTGATGGGTTTTTTTAGTATTTTCAATAATTTTGATATATTGATTTCATAAATAAAAAATTATTAAAAAGATATAAAGCACATTAATTTAATTGGTTTTCATTTTATTATGGATTCTTCCCTTGTTTGGTTTTATTTAGTTATCTGATTTTAGTTTTAGAAAATAAAATCAAATGACATAAAAAAAAATTTAAAAAAAATAAAATTATTTAATAAATTCAGAAAATCATTCTTCTGATAACAACTATTTTCGATTATTTTGTTCATCCCTACCATTAGTAGGAGAAATGCTCTCTTTTTGGGTTTGATATTGAGACCAGTTCCTTTACTTGACATTGGCTACCACTACCACCACGATGCCTAGGACATCAGAATCAAGTGATGGTTCTGTTAATTTTATAATCGAAGCGATTGTTCTTGGCAGTTTGAATTTATAATAAATCAATAGAAATATGTATTCTAATCACCCGCGGCAATTAATTTCAAATTGGATGAGCCCTCTGAAAAAGCTTGTTACATGCACCCATGCCCATCATTGATTTTTCACTCCTCTCGCTGAGGTCCCGTGCATGCTTGTGTGTGGGGTATAAATTATATTCTAAAGTGTTTTTTATTTAAAAATATATTAAAATAATATATTTTTTATTATTAAAAATGTATTTCTCACATTGCAAATAAAAAAATATAAAAATATATAAAAAAACTTTAAACTGAATTTTTTTATAAAAAAAAATCACGAATTGAAACTTAATGCCACCTTTATTCAATCTGGACAATCAAGACTGGATCGCTACAATTGACAATATTATTGAATTAATAATTATCAATATTTTTTAAGTGTCATCATTGATCTAAATATAAATCAAGATTCTAAAATTGTATATTATTTTAATATTTTATTTTCACTGTGTATTTTATAAAATACAGTATTAATTTAAAATTTGCAAGAATTATCGAGCAATAACTTTTTGTTTTTTTTATTAAATCAATCAACAAGTGAGGTCATGAAAGCATTTACAGTCAAAAGAACAGGAAAAAAAAATAGGAAAAGGCTAAAGAAAAATAAAAATCACAATGCGGTCAGTGGACCCATTCAGGCCTCAGAATGTGCCTCTGATCTATTTAAAAAAAAAATAATAGTTTGAAGTGGGCCCATTAATATTTTAGCAGAAACGAAACCAAAAGGCCCACGCCCTCCTTGGAAGACCGTGAAAGTTGCATGTATCTCACACACACACACATAAATTCATTATTATTCAATCTCTCAATTCGAAATATGAAAATTACGAAGTAGTTAGTTGTTGCAGTACATGGCTAGTGATTCAGGCATGGCTACTAACTTCCTCGTGTATTAAATCATACTATCGTGAAAAGAAATAAAATCAAATAGGAGGTTTCCTGCTGGGTTTTTTTTGTGACCCAAAACCACAAATAAATCAGACCGAAGAGGTAATTGCATCAAATATTCATTCGCCATTGATCTCGGGGAGACAAGCAACGGGCACGAGCTCCATTTTGAAGACAAACCCAGCGGAGTTTATGGCTGACCTGGCATGGCCTTGCCTGTATCGATGGTCCATGGTTGATGGGAAGCTCGAGCGGTTAACGGAAGAATTTTCCCGAATTGCTTCTCTAAGATGGCATCGCATCAAACAATCAACGGCACCTAAATACCTAGACGTGCCCTGTTAACAGTGCTCACTGAACCATAATAGTGGCTAATAATTAACAATAATTAATACTAACATTAATATTAAAGGTAATACTGCCCCTCATCGACCAGTTTCCATTAAAAAAAATGAAAATTGAAGGTGGGAGGGG